AGGGTGCAGGAGGTTGGGTTGGATATGTGAGGGACTCAGGACAAGGAGGCTGTGAGTATGATGGGCTCAGGACACAGATTTGTGATGATCATAATCAAGCAAACTGACAAAGGGGGCATTGTATTCATCATGAACAGAACAGATTATGAACAGGAGGCAACCAGACAACTCACCAACACCAGATTCTACAAGCTTCTCTCCTGTGATTCCACTAAAGCAGTTGTCTCCAACCTTTTTACACCGAAGATCACTTTTTAAATCTCAGAACAGGCCCCGCCCCTTCCTTGAAACCCCGCCCTCTCTATTCTCCTCCCATCCATCACTTGCTATCCCCAGCCCTTACTTACACACTCTGATAAATACTTTATTTTTAAATTATGCGATATATAAAATTAAAATCATATGTTTATAGTTATGAAATAAATGGTCTGTTTTTTATTCATGCTATTTAAATCTACAATGAAGCATTTATAATTATACATTTTGTGGGACAGAGTTCTGCGGCTGAGGACAGGGGAGAGGGAACAGGGTGCTGGGAGGGCAGGGGACAGGGTTCTTCAGCAGGGGACAGGGTGCCAGTGGGGGCAGGGAGGCCCCCACACCCGCCTCCTCCTGGGACTCCCCTCACTCTCCCCCCGCAGAAGAGGAAAGCCCCAGCATACGCTTCCTCTGCAGATGACTCCGCCTCCCCCCACAGAGAAGGGAAAGCTCCGTTGCGCGCCTCCTCTGAGGACACCTCCCCCTTCTACCCTGCAGAGGAGGAAAAGCTCTGATGCGCGTCTCCTCTGGGGACTCTGCCCCGTCCCGCCTGCCAGTTCCGGGCACGCCACAGACCTGGGGGAGGGGAGCACCACTGCACTTCCAGAAACCCCCGAAGTGGCACGTAGCTGCTGGAATTCTGTCTACCCCGCAGGAAGCTGCCACTACCTTCATTGTCGCTGGAGGTAGGTAGTGGGGCTTCTTGGGGGTGGGGGAAAATCAGAGGGGGGCCCCCAAACGCCTCACGATCAACTGGTCGACCCCTTGCGATCGACCAGTAGATCGCAATCAACGGGTTGATGACCACGGTATTAGAAGCTTTACAGTGGATATTATGATCCATTTGGACGGCAGCTCACCAGGAAATTCCCGGTATCCCGCTGGGCCAGGTGATGCCACCTGCCCCTGGTGATGATGGAACATTTTGGTCTGATCTTTTGTTCATACGTCTATCTTTTACAAACCAAACTGCGCATGAAGGGTATGAGGCAATTATGTTATTTAACTCAGGACATAGAAAGGTGGTTCTTGTCTCAGAACTTTTGCCCATAAGGCTTGGCAGCAGCAGCCTGGATCTGGAGATTAAGACAAAGCACAAAAACCACCCAGTTTTTGAAAGGATGAAGCCCATAATATAGAATGTTGTATTAATAAGGAGTGAGGTGATTCCTAATAACCAGGGCTCGACAAATAATGTAATCTACTCGCCACAGGTAGATCTGTGGCGAGTAGATTACAACCTGGAAGAGCCGGCGCAGAGCGATCTGCGCATGCACAGAACCGCGCAGCTGGCGAGCAGGCTTGCCGCCGCTTGGCGAGCCCTGCTAATAACTGTGTTCCTTGAGACCTGCTTCACACAGAGAAACACTGTCCAGAAAGTACACTCTAGCTTGGCACACAAGTTGATAATTTGGTGACAATAGAACCTTTGCAGTTCTACAACAGCTGCCATCTAAGTTGCTCAAAGTACTTTACAATGTAAAGCCCTGATCCTACAAGCTACATATGGGCACTGAAATATGCCAAATGAAGACCCAATTTTAGGATTTGGACTTGAGTTTTATGTGTGGGTTGGGGGTAAGTATTATTATCCCTAGTTCACAAATCGGTGAAGGAAAGCACAATCTAGGCAAGGCCCTTGCTTTCAAATGTGACTTAAGTTTAGATGCCCCAGTTTACAGATCTTGAACCTGATTTTTTAAGTGCTGAGCATCTATACACCTGGGCTGTGTCTAGACTGGCAAGTTTTTCCACAAAATAATCTGCTTTTGCGGAAAAAACTTGCCAGCTGTCTACACTGGCCGCTAGAATTTCCGCAAGAACACTGACGATCTCATGTAAGATCGTCAGTGTTCTTGCGGAAATACTATGCTGCTCCCGTTCGGGCAAATGCCGTCTTGCGCAAATGATTTGCGCAAGAGGGCCAGTATAGACAGCACAGTACTGTTTGGTGCAAAAAAGCCCCGATGGCTAAAATGGCGGTTGGGGCTTTTTTGCGCAAAAGCGCGTCTACATTGGCACGGACGTTTTTCCGCAAACGGAAAAGCGTTCGTGCCAATCTAGATGCTCTTTTCCAAAAATACTTTAAACGGTAAACTTTTCCGTTAAAAGCATTTCTGGAAAATCATGCCAGTGTAGACGTAGCCCTGTTGACTTCATCTGGAATTGTGGGTGCTTAGAATATCTGAAAATCATGTTCCTTACGCAGTGAAGCTAGACACCCAACCTTATAGAACATTTCTGAAAATACAGGTCAAAATGATTTAAAGGTCACCAAACAGAGAGTGAGTGTCACAGTTGAATAGAGAACCTAGGAGTCCTGTACTTTATGCTTAAAAAAGCAAGACAGTTGGGTTCATGAATGAGTACAGATTTAACTCGATTATTTTTGCCTGGTAATTAAAGGTGAATTTTCAACAGAGGTATTGACTTTCCTTTCAAAATAATCTGAGTAGGTAAAATTCTGTGTGAAGAGACAAAATAAAGGGAAATGATCAATGCATGAGTCTTTAATTAGTTAACCCAAGGGGTGGGCAATAATTTTTGCAGAGGAGCCACTTCATGAATTTTGGAAGTGGTCATGGACCTCCCCTGAAGGTGTGGGCCCTTGGGTGGAAGGAGGCTGTTCCGGCCCGGGGGCCAATTGCGGCCCGTGTTCTGGTTTAATACGGCCCCACAGGTAATTTGGCAATATCTATCTTTTATGGCCCCCAACGAATCCATATGTATTGAGATGAATACATTGTAAAATCTCAGTTAATGTCAGTTGGTCTAAATCAGTTATAAATATATTTGGACACAACATGTATACTTGGTGTTATGTTCCTGTTCATATTTTTTTAACTTAAAAGTTGACAGACAACCTTTATTACCAATAATATGTAATGTACTTTACAATGTTCCTGACATATTTCAGCTTTCTGGATTTTTTTTTTCATCTGGCCTTCAGATATTAAAGGCAGAGTGATTTAACACCTGTTTAGATTTGTCATCCATGTGACGAAATGAAAAGTATGCCGTTTGCAATAACCTTTGCATAAAATAGTTAATTTGCATTTAATTTTAATGAACATGATTCAAAGAACATCAGGCAAAATGGTCAGCCCTCACGAATGTTCACTTCATCAAATCTGGCCCTCTTTGAAAAAAGTTTGGACACCCCTGCTCTAGGTGCAGCCTGCCCCAGGCAGGGGAGGAGACTTGGCATGCTCTCCCCCCCCCCCAGGCCAATCAGAGCCTGGGGGTGGGGGAGTGTGAAAAGTCTTTGCCCCCCACCCGTGCCCCACCAGGGGCAGGTGGCAGCACCAGCTGCTTTAAACAGCTGGCAGCTCCCTCTGGCACTGTATGCCTCTGGCACTGGGGGGAGACTTTGTGTGCTCCTGTCTCCAGGTCTCAACTGGCCCGGGGGGTAGTGAGTGGCAGGGCGGTCAGATTCTGACTATTGCCCCTATCTTGCCTCCCTCCCCTGATAATCCATAGCTTGCCACTTCCTTTTCTCAACTCTAGTAATGATTTGCCTTTTTTGTAGTGCTGTTTGTTTTGTATCAACACCCTTATCATCGTGAAGGCCACAACGCAGCAGGACCTCAGGTCTAAAAACTGCCTGTGCAACATCCTGTAAGTTCAGCTAGGGCAGGGGTTCCCAACCTTTTTCAGTCCCCATATCGCCCCCCCCTTGGCTTTTAGTAAACCTTTCTGTACCCCCTATTCAATATGAAAGGAAATAAATTCTAGACTCTAGAATCCACTTTTCATTAACACTGCTACTTTTGGAATATTTCAATTAGAATAATCTAGTTATTTACCAAATATTCCCCGTGCCCCCTGGGGGGGGTACCGGTACCTCAGGTCGGGAACCGAGCTAGGGGTTAGGCAGCTCCTGGGAAAAGGGAGCTCAGCCAGCAGCGCTCTAGGCGACAGGGATGTACTGAATAACTACCGCCTTTCCGAAGGGGAAACTGAGGCACGTTCCAGACAGGGCCAGGCCCAAGTGGATGAGACAACAACTTAAGCTGCTTTGGCTGGAGGACCCGGCCCCCCCGAGTTCCTCATC